CTCCACACACACACACCTACCTGTCTGTGTCTGTGTCTGTGTCTGTCTGTCTGTGTGTGTCAGGTTGCCTGGTGCTGACTATAGCAGCAGGTGGTGTGAATGAGGAGGCCCGCGGGCTGCTAAGGCTGAGCATCGTCGACGGCCACGAAGTCGTGGCAATGCAGGCGCAGACCATCGGTGTCCGGATGCCATGCGGCACCTACCTCTGAACACACACCACACAACATGCCGTGCCGTGCCATGCTGTGCCATGAGTGTGTGTGTGTGTGTGGGGGGGGGGGGGGCTGAAGGGGTGCGTGTGCACGCCCCTGCTGTCGTTTCTTTGTCGAAATGTAATACATGTGTGTGGATGGTGGCCGGGCCGGTTGATGGATTGACTGATTGATGCAGCACAGCACATGGCTGGCTGGCTGGCTGGCCCGGTCCTGACGGCCTCCCTCCCACCTTGGTCGAGGTGTAGGTGTAATTGACGTGTCAAAACCCTGTCGATAGTCCATGCATGGCATGCCACGCGCGTCTCTCTGTCTCTCTGCCTGCCTGTCTGTCTGTCTGCGTATGGATCGGCTGGCGAGTAAGTTTCTGTATGTGACCACCCCACCACCCACCCCACCACCCACCCCAACACGCCCACACCCCATTACACCCACGCCCACATCCACACCGTGTTTGTTGTGTTTGCTATCTATCTCTCTTATATCGATGCCTCGATGCATTTGATGGTTCCTGGGGAGGGGTGACGGGTGGGTGCATTTGGTGGGCCCTGGAGATGAGAGAGGGTGGGGGTGGTTCTGTCTGCTTGCTTTACGTGCCTTTCTCGAATAAATGCCGTCCGCCGGCCGGCCGGCCTGGCTAGCTGGCTGGCTGGCTGCCCGTTTATGAGTGAGTGCGAGTGCATTTGGGTGCGACACAGACAGACAAAGACTTCCTCCTCCGTTGATTGAAAGACGCAGACAAGACATTCATCCATCCATCCATCCAGTTTGTCGCTATAATACTGATCAATGAAGAGCGCCTCAGTTGACTACACCAATCGTATTTCCACCCACCACCACCACCACCAGCACCACCACCACCAGAAGCAGCACGTCGAGCTAACTATATCAGTGCATTTCGGCAGCGAGGGACGACACAGACACACTGGAGGAGTTGTCGTCCCCCTCCCGCACACTCTCGTGGTACTCAGTGGTCGCGTCGGCATCTCCGGGGTGCCGCAGACAACCCCCACTACGGACGCCAAGACCTCTCAGATCTGCCTCTTGGGGCTGCACACACACACACACACACACATTCTGTGCATCTCTCCCTGTTTCTCGTCGGTGGCTGTACCTACCTGGTCAGCTCCATCGCCGTTGTGAGGCGGGGGCGGGGAGTGCTGCTGTGGCTGCTGCTGGTGGGGGTTGTGGTTGTGGTGGTGCTCATCGTCTACGTGGTCGTGGGTCTCCCTGGGCCTGCTCGCCTCGGTCGACAGACGCTGCTCACGCAGGTTGTGCCGGTCGTAGGCCACCATGTCTATCACGTTCTTGAGCGCAGCGTACCCCAACTGACACACACACACATGGATGGATGGATGGAGGGATGGATGGATGGTGGGGTCGGTGGATGGGAAGACTGACTTACCTTGGACCGTTTGATGTCCTGCATGGTGAAAGACATGTCCTCCTCGTGCTGCAGGAGTGCCGAGGGCGGGGGGGCGCTGCTGCGGCGGCCCTTGACCATGTCCATCAACTCATCCTTCACCCACACACACACACGCCAGGTGTGTCAGACCAGTCCGTGTGTCGGGTGGTTGGTTGTGTGGTGTGGGTAGGTAGGTGAAGGTGCCGTACCAGGAGGGCTCTGTATTCGCTGTGGCTGAGCCCGGTCCTGCCGTAGTAGGCCCGAAGCGTCGGCTGCACACACACACACACACACACACGGCGTGAAGGCAATTCTTCCTGCGTGCCGGGGG